TTCTCCACCCCGCACAACATGATCTACTCGACCACCATTGTGGTTACCGCCAAAAAAAAAGACAAAAAAAAACGGTAGCCTGGTTGCCGAGTTCACGAAGTGAGTCGGCTTGTTTTACAACGTCGTTGCCAAGCGACGAAAACCCAATCCCGATGGCAAACACCGAGGTGGCAGGGGGCGGCGGCTTGTTTTACAACGTCGTTGCCAAGCGACGAAAACCCAACCCCGATGGCAAACACCGGGGGGGATGCATGGAATGATGGGGAGGGAAAATATAGAGGAGGACGGGAATTCGAACCGGCGACAATGAATTATGGTGGTCGTGGTGGTGGTCTTGATCGAAAACTTTGCCGAATTGCAGCGAATGATCGGCACACGCCGGCGGGCGGCAGTTGCTGTGGCCCCCAACAAGCGGCCCTTGCGAGCGTGGGCGAGTGTGGGACCGTGGCCCTGCGCCCCTTAGTTGAATACCCAGGACCCTAATGGGAGGAGTCCAGTCCGGAAGCAAAACGCCCCCCGCCGGATTCTTCCGAACAAACCACCACCAGCGTGGCACTCGAATACGCAACAAACACATCTGTCTCTGCGACAACGCCGGTCCCGGTGGTACTCGAGCGCGCGCGTGTGGTACGGGAGCTGCGTACCACGCCGCGAGAGGTTGCGGGATCATGCCGCAACGCAAGGGTGTGAGAGGGCGAGCCCTTTCGCGTAGTTTGTTTGCTGGGCGCCTAGCTCCCTCGAAGGTGGGGCCATGGAGCCATGGACACAGAAATGTTGAAATTTGTGTCCCCCCAGGTTCACGCCAAATCTGTCGTGTTTCGCGAACGGTAGGCAGCAACCTCGCGAGGGCCATGTAGACCTACTTCACAATGACGCTCTATTGTCTACCCACAGAAACCAATGCACGACGGAGATTGTCTTGGCCAGTTTCCGAACCAATACCTGCGTGAATCGCACACATGCGCGCAGAGCCGTGGACGTTGGCACGACGGCCGTATTTTTCGTCGATCCTCGGGCTAGAGAGGGTTCGATGCCACCGATGAGAAGGAGAAAGAAACAGAGTTAGAAGCAACCAACGCATGCACCTCCAACAACTTCCGTTCTCCGCTCCCCCCTCAACCCTTGGAGGGGGTGCGCTGCATCCTGCTAGGGGTGTTCGGCATCTTGTACTTACTCCCTTGCGTACGGATGACAACTGGGTATGACTAGTTTATTCTCTGTTGCTTTCACTTCCAGAGACAGTAAAAAGCACTGTGTAACTTCCTCGAGGGTTCTTGACCACGTTAACACAACGTGCTGCGATCATCCCCCTTTGCGCAGAGTGAACGTTCCACACCCTGCACAACATAACCTACGCCACCCCATCATTATGGTCACCGCAAAAAAAAAAAATGACAAAGAATAAAAAACGGTATCCTGGTTGTCGAGCTCACGAAGCGATCGGCTTGTTTTTTACAACGCCGTTGCGAAAAGACAAAAAACCCGATGGTACACACGGGGGGGCGAGGGGGGGGCGGGGGGTGGGGTG